ACGACCAGATTGAAGCTATATTCAAAGATCAAGGTGGACACTGACTTCCAAACTACCAGAGCTCTGACACGGTTTACAGTGATGCTTCCCAGTGCATTCCATGAGACAAGATGATTAACAACACACACAAAAAAAGGGGGAGGCCAAGTTATCGGAGCCAGTAGCAGCAGACATAACACAACAGCATTCTTTTCGGTTTGTATCTCACCTGCACTAGTAGGCTATGCTTTTTCTGTGGAGCAACAAAAATAAAAATCAAAGGATACCTGCCAGCTAGACTATTTATTGTACTGGTTTGCAAATCTGTTAATTTTTTTCTATATATAGCAAACTCCTAGCCCTACCTCTATTTTATTTTTTTTCCCCTGCAGAACATTATTTCTGGGCTTTCCATTTGTAGTGTTTCAACAGTTAATCTGATCCGCAAAATGGGGGGGGGGGGGGGGGGCCCAACCACACTAATTTTTTTTTTATAAATTGTGTGTATGTAATTACCCTGACTGTCAATACATTATTTAGCTGCTATTTGCTTATTAAAATGTGCCAGGAATAACAAGGCACTAGGATTTTGATTTGCCTGGCAGCATTAGTGCAGGCTGACTGAGCACAGGTTCTCTCCCTGCCCCCCCCAACAAGGTATTAGCTTGAAAACCCTTCATGTATTTAAAACAGGTTGCTTTTTCAACCTTTAGTACATATTTGCTCTCTTGCTTCCTAACAAATATGACATAGCCGGTCCTGTATCTTTTACAGGCATGACCCAGGGAATCGCTGAAGATATTGGTCAGCCCTTACCTGTTCTACTTCATACGCAGACTTGAAGGTTGAGAATTACTAGTAGTTTTTCACTAGCTTATCCAATGCTCTTAGCAAATAAATAAATAAATATTAAAAAATTACAAGACAGCTCTACCCTACTCACAGCCTTACTGGTGATGAAGGGATCAGATAGCATAAAATGGCATTAATTACAGGTGGGAAAAAAAATCTGGTAAATAGGAAGTGTTAACATGCCGTGACTAAAATCCAACAAAATCTGCTCTTTGTTCTGAACACATCCCTTGCCTAAGGCTGCATCACACATGAGCCAGCTCTTAGGCTGAAGTCCAAACTAAAGGAGATGGCCTGGCTGCATATTGACCTTAGCACACTGGCCACAGCTGTAGGAGATGCATCTGCTCAGTATTTTGAATAGGCAGAAGATGACTTGGCTAGTGCTATTTTGATTGAAGCCCGTATTATTGCTATCCTAGATCCTCTTCCTTTTTTTTTAGAGTACAGTTGATACTGCATCTTTTATTAAGATAGAAATTCATTTGGGACTACTGCTAGCATTTAAGTAAATATTCAAGTCACCTACTTTAGGAAACCAAAAGGGAATACATTTCTTAATTGAATGATACTTACTAATACGGCCCCAATTCATTCAAGGCGTTTAGATGTTACCAAAATATCCAGTCTCCCAAGAAATAGTTTCAACTCCACAGAGGCATGCTTGAGGAAGACTATTTAGCATTGGAAGGAAAAGGAAATCTACCTGCTTCCTGTACACATTCTCTCCACCAAACAGCATAACATTTGATGCACACTGGCCAGGTAGAACACCTTCAACCTATTTTTTTATTACCTCTCCAGGCTTCCTATCTTTCATTAAAAACAGCACAAGGACAGAAACAAGTGCATGCACATGGTTTTACTATAGACCAAGTTCAGCACAGACAATAATTACAGAATATCAGATAATTTCCTCTACACCAAAATACAGAAATGTAGCAATTAAAAGGGGGAAGGGAACAGTATGTGCTTAGAAGCCAAATTTTCAGGCAATTTCATTGCAAATGATTGTATTTCATTTGAGGTTGGGATTTAATAACACCAATTAGGAGTTTTACAAGCTACTAAAACTGAAATTTCCTCAGCTAAAATAAGCTTCATTGCCCAGAGCAAAGCATTTTCCATTTATAGTTTCTTATTAGTGAACATCTTGAATTTCTGAACAATGGAAAAAAAAAAAGCTTTCTTATAAAATTAGAACAGCATCTTCTCAAAGACAACCTGAAACCCACACAGCTGAATCCCAAAGCAAAGCTCTGTGATTTGCCCAGTATAATTGTTCCATACATGATACGGGGTCTCTGAGGGACTTCATGACTGGCTGAAGAGGCACTAACCAAACCCTATGTCCTCATGCCTCAGAGGTGAGCTCTGCAGTTCAGAATTAGGCTGGATGCAGAAATTTGATTTGTAAGTAATGTAGTAACCATTTGCAAATAAGGATGAATTTCAGGCCTTTTAAGCCGTCAGCTTTTACAACCACTGTGTCTCTCCATTATTTCAAAGAATGCAAAAAACAGCTGAAGATCTGCACCCCCAACCATCCATCGCTTACCAGTACCACTCTAAAAATAAATGTCCTATATTTAAAGAAATGCTTCTGTAAAAGCTTATTTATTCTAAAGCAGTAACAAACTATGAATCCTAGTCTATTCCATTAGTTTGACTATCTCCTGGTGCCTAGGTTGGTTGAATGTGACAAATGCATGGGGAACAGAGAAATAAGCAGGAAAAAAAAGAAGTTTCTGTCAGAAAGCTAGGTAGCTTCATGAAATTCAAACTTTATAGCAGTACAGATTTCTAGAAGAAATGGTCTATATCAAGGTCTTTTTGGGGGGAGAGTCAGAGCACCTGAATAGAGGAAGAATTATGTCACTGGCTAGTTCCAATGCACTGCAAATAGGAAGGGGTTTTTTTGAGGTTATTCTGTTCATAAATGATTTTTACAAAACTTAAAAGCTTTGTTTGAAATCAGACAGTAGGAACTATTTTTGAGGTATAGAACATCTATAGCTACCTGAAGCTATTGAATTCACACCATCTGGCCTCTTCAAAAAGTATCTCCAACAAATATGGAAAAAAATGTTTGCCAACATTTTTGAAAAATTTTCCACAGCTCACCCTTAAAAGAGCAGGGGCATGCAGGAGGGGAGGAGGTACACAGCAGTGCAAGTCAGTAAAGCTGTAAATGCAGGCTTGCTGCTCAGCTGGCGTCACACACTTCTGCTGGCTACAGTAGCATGTGTCATTGCCACTGACAGCTTGTGTCTAGAACTCACCATCCAGGTCAGCTTTTCTAACTTACATCACCCATTACACATTATACCTTTCCTTGATGAGGATAATTTTTCATCTTGGGCAATGAACACACACAGATTAGTTTCTACAATGGATAATAGCCTAATTAAACTAAATAAAAATGTGTCATTCCCTTAGATATATCCAGTTCCATTCTTAAGATCTTTCTATGGATTAATTTCATAATTTTATATTTAATGATTTTTTTATTAACATCCACTTCAAAGTTTTAAGTAGACAGCCTACTGTGTATTCACAGATGAAATTTGCTGTTCCACTGTCCATGGTCTATTGCTACTCTGCTGCCATGTCTCTTTCACAAGAGAAAAGGAACCATCTCACCTCTCCATACTTGACAAACTGCTGGTCTCTAGCAGCTTCTACATTCATATATGAACGAAGCAATTCATGGAAACTGCCCATGGACAATCTAGCTTCCCACTACAAAGTTTGGTGCTAGCTACCCCTGAGGCATCACATTATCTTCCCAAATCAAGTGGTATTTTGGGATACACATACTGAATGGAATCCTTTCTTAAACATTGTGTGGAGTCCAGCTTTTCTTCTTCTAGCCTACAAACTAGTATCTCAAACACATAGATGACATTATGAAAGAAGCAGAAAGTGTCTTATTCTTTATTTTAAATGAATAAAATAAATCTCAATACATAGTTTGGAAACATTTAAAGACATCAGAAAAAGAAAACTAGATTTAAAAGCAAGTACAAAAGTGGCAGGATGAAAATAGTATAAGCTAACAGAATTTAGTGTTTCAAGTATGAATATATAACAGCAATAGCAATTTTAAATATTCCACTATTGTATTTGCAATAGTGAAGTAATGAGATAGTATTTCACTAAGCCCAGCAAAAAGCTGTGAAAATTGCAAGTTTCAACTGAGAAGTTTTGCCATTTTAATGATGGTTCTGAAGTACTGGTTTTATTTGCATTTATGGACATGTCTATGAGGGGGAGGAAGACCCATACTTTAGGCCAGCAGAGTATTAGTTGGTACACAGCAGCTTTGTAGTGTTTTATATATATATATAAAAAAAAAAAAAAAGGCAAGCACTTTTATAACCTATTCCTGGTTCTCAAATGGAGAATTGTAGCTTGTACAAACCATGAGTCCCAGGAAATACTGACATATACAACCCTAAACCTAACTTGTTTGGTTGGTTTTTTGTTTTATATCAGTCCTAACAAAAATATTCAAGACCTTTCATTTCTATCAAAGTGCAATATACTGCACACATAATTCCACACCTGTAAACCATATAGTATACATGCCATGCACTTATCTATAGAAGTTCGTATAAGAAATTGCAGAAGTATGAATATATTGTGCATGTTTGTTCTGACAAGGACACTGTGCAAGCAAGAAATACCTATACTGCATGTTGTAGAATAAAATTTACTAGTAACTTCTGTGCCTGATCGTTACAAAAAAACTGACAAATGCTCCAATATTAAGTCTTGTGCTTCAGCTCCATCCTTGTTAGAGAACTCTGAGCTATTGATTTTTTCAGGGAGCTGAGTTATCTAGTAAGCTTGTTTTTTCACTAGCTTGCCCCCCCTTCCTGCCCTGAAGTGTGATTTCCTGCAATAATTTAGTTGTTTGAAGAAGAGAATGTACTTAGCTAAAAAAGACTTCCAAAAAAGGAGTTACATAAATATTTAGCACATTTAGAAACAGCTAATTGCTTCCTACCATACTTAAAAGCTAGGAAGTAAAAGTTTTAAAATTCTTAAAGTGAAATAAAAATACTGCATAACATAGTCCTGTATAATGTTAAATACTCTCTCAAATTTAAAGCATAAGTGACCCAGAGGACTTCCCACATTTTCATTTAAGTTCTTTTTTTGTGTAGTTCATGTGGGTTTTTGCATACATATTTTCTTCATATTTTCCTTCCTGAGTTTAAAGCTTTCCAATAGGTTTGTAGCAGGCATCAGGCTGCCACATGCGAAGGTCAACAAGGACTTGGTTGAGCTTTTGCATCCAAAGGTTACGCTCTTCTTTAGTATCAGCAGACAGCCAGTTCCTAAAAGGGAAAGAATCCAATGGATTAGATGCATCTTTCTCCACCTCTACTTATTCTGAAAAATGTTGAGCTGATCATCCATCGAAGCCCAAATAGCAAGGGAAAAAATGAAGCCAAATATTCCACAATCCTGCTACCAAGCTACCTGGCATTTCCACTTCTGAAGAAGTTGAGTTCTTTGTCCTCAAAAGTCTGAAATGGGACAGCAAGACAAAACAGAACTAAAAGTGAACCAAACAGTTCAAGTGTCATCCCAAAGTCTTAGCATTTAAATGAGCTTTGCATTGGCAAGTCAATGTTGTAAAGCTCCTATGTCATTAAAACTGTCACTTGAGGCAAAACACCCCTCCCACACATCCCACAACCTTCGTGATTTTATCCACTCACTTTGTAACACAAAGTGTGTCTCTGCATTGGCTGACAAGAGTCTCTCTGTCATCCTCCCTCTGAGGTCGGACAGTTATTAGTTCAAAAGTGTTGGGACGGGCACAGAACTCCCTGTTGGCAGGTTCGATCTGATGATTAGTGCAGTTAGCCAAGTTTATCCGGCCCAAAGGATGCTGAAAGTGAAGTTAGTTCATCAGTCAAGAACACTGCAATCAAGAGTAATCCTGAACAACATATGCTTTGACAATTTTTGCCATATTGAGTGACACCCCCTCCAAATCAATTACTCCATTTCAAAAGAGGGATTCCACTTCTTGCATTTGCAAGTGATAGCTGAAGCAAGACAGTATAGACAACAGAACACGCCCACCTGAGTCACATACAATACAGCTAACAAATCCATCCCTTACCAAAAGCTTAGGCTCTAGAAAGATATAGCCTCCCTTTTCTTTATTCCGTAAAAAAAAATAAAAAGCTTTAACTCTCAAATTCAGGAGAACTTCATAATAAAATCCAAACTGGTAGTGTAAACCCTGTCAAAGCCTACAGAAAACAAGCACTTTAGGGATGCTTGCATCATTCTTGTCAAAGCCTATAAGCATATGGATTCATCTTCAAACATACAACTAAGGCACCTAAGTGGCAAGTCCAGCAGCTTTAGCTCCCTCTGTAGTCAATAGCTAGACCCCTTCAAAAAGCATTTCAAATTCAAGGCAGTTACCTCTTTCTGCTGACTGTAGACAGAGGCTTAACTCTATGCCTAAAGTTAGTTACAGACCTTGGCTCTGATTATTCACACCTACAGAATATCTCATCAGGGAAACATCACAAACTGCTCTTGGCTTGGAGAAGAGTTTGCTATTTATTGGGCATGTTCATTATATTATTCCATAGATAGTTAAAATAACCTGAGTTACAAGAAAAAGAAGGATAGTTCTATTCCAAAGAACATTAAGAAACAGGCTGCATGTTGGTGATACATGTACAGCCATGTACAATCATTGCCCAATACTGACAATGCTGAGCTACATCTATCTCTGCATGATAGAACAGATATAGTAGGGGTAAGTGGAGGAATTTAATAAGGACAGAATTTAATACTGCTGTAGATATAGTATATCAAAAGAATATAGGTGATCCTTACAAGCCTAGAAGATTTTCAAGAACAGAATCTGGAAAACAAACCAAAGCTGCTTTCTTGCAGACAAAAGTAGAATAGGAACCTTTTTCTTGCTTAACTCAAATTTTTTGCCTATCTTCTATTCCAGTAGGCAGAGATTTTTTCCCTCTCTCCTGGCAGGGAAAGAAAATACATTGATATATTTTGGCAACGTCAACTATCAGCATATGGTCTTCCTCTGTTAGCAGGGAAGAAACTAAACTCAGGCATCTGGATTGGCATAGAAGACCCAAAAGGACCAGAGTTTGCCACAGAGTTTGGGAAAGAAAGTGTTCTGCCAACAAACAAGCAAGAGTTTAATGGTAAATTGCTTAAGTCAGTCAGAAAAACCCTCCTGAAAGCAGTCTTTAAAAGGGCCTGGAAATATGTCAGTACACACTGCAAAAACAGGCTAAGGAAACAAGAAGGTTCACCTCAGTGACAGATGAACCTCTGATTTGTCTCATTAGCAGACAATAACTTAGGTTTCCATGAAAACCATTTAAAAAGCACCAGTTTCAGCTATAATGTGGAGCTGCAAGAAAACGATCACCACAAATAAGATAGTTCATAATCACAGCTATGCTTCTGCAATATAGAAGGGTTGCCCACTCCAATTCTTTACCATATTAAGTTAGTTATTATTTTGTCTAAAACTTAAGGCAACTAGATACAGTCTGCTTATTAAGCTGTACAAGTCCGATGAATTTCAATTAAATAGTCATATGACAAGTGCAACGGAAAGCCTTAAGACTAAAGGAGAAATTAAATATGGATCTTTCTCCACTTTTCCCCTTTCCCACTAGATGAAGTGCTCATTTTCTAAGTTTGCCCTGATTTAAGCCAGATTTATGAAGACAAGTCCCCTCCATTCCCCAAGGAAACTTTATGACCTTGATTCTCATGCTTTCAATATATTTACCTGTTTTAAGCCTAAATGTTACTATCATTAAAAATGAACACCAGTTGTGTAGGGTACTACAGAACTTTAGACTTGAGCTTTTTAAAACAGCATTACCTTTCGTTTTTCATCATCTGGGTATGTCCAGTAAGATATACAATTTCCAGACAGCACACACCAGCGCCTGTGCCATGCTCCAAATCCACTAACATCTTCAAACATAGTCTTAAAAAAAAATAAAAAAATTAAAAATGGGGTAACATTATATCTTGAACTTGGTCTGTACTAAACTATTTTTCTACCAGAATGGTTCGGCAAGTACAACCCTTCATAGGAGTAAACACAGAGAAGGAAAAATGTATACTGGGGAAGTCTTCTATTGGTACAGTATATTTATTTTCCAGATAGCATAGAAAGTGGGCTTACACCATCATTCTCAAGTTTGCAGCCTTTTGCTCAAAATGCACCTATCACTGCTATTTCAAACTACCAAATTTTCATATTGACAGTGGTAAGCATTCCCATTATTTTAAGATAATGAAAGGTTACTTATAGCAGATACAGGATAAATGGTTCACAGAACATGTATTACTATAACCTAATTTATTATTATTAGGTATTTAAGTAATCTTTGGCTTATAATTCATGTTTACAAAATGTTTGGGTATTCTACAGGCCACACTCAGGAGTCCAGTCAGTTTAAAAGAAATTGATTTTTAAATGTTTGTGTTAGCAGTTATTTTACTGGATGCAGGATTATGCCAGTTTTAAGCCCCATTTCCTTAGCACTGAAATGGCAAGTTTAGTGTCCAACTTCTATTCCTGATCCCTTGAACTTGTACAGAACTTTTTTCCAATTAATTTTTGTATGTTGTGTTTTTCACTCTTCACAGTTCAGATTATAATTTTTAATGGTGCAGGGAGTTTCTAAACCCTTACTCTGAAAAAACTTAATTATGCATGTACACCATTCTGTAGGTTTTACATACTGTATATTAGAGGTAAACAAGGACTTTCTTAAATTAGTACACAAAAGCACAGGATAGCAAATACCATAAGCATGTGAAATGTTTGCACCTAATGAAATCTGTTCAACTTCTATTAAAGGGAAAGGAGACAAAACTGCTTGAAAAGAATCTAAAGAGATTCCGATTTCTGAAAACACCAAAATAACAGCAAATGTTAGTGTTTTGCTCAAATATTTTCCTAGCACATTTACTGCCATCTGCTGTACATTATCTCAACAGCTCCACCTATTAGGCCCAAGTACCATCTGCATTTTCTAAGTCCAGTTTTAGAGAGAGAACTGCTCAAGGTGTTTCTCAAGAAATACTGTCACTTCCTTGTAAGCCAAAGTCTGTGAACACAGTGGGGGAAGAAAAAAAAAAAAAAAAAAAAAAATTTTGCTAGGGAGAATTTGTTTTTACTAGACAAAAAAAAAATCCAAGATGACCTATAAAAGTTTCTGGCAGGGAAATTAGAATCTCATCTCACATCACAGATTATAGCAAGGTTAACTGAAGCTCAGAATAACAAGTGAACAGCGTTTAGAAGAAAAAGATATATAAAATCCTGAAAAGTAGCTTTAATATAAGCATGTTTAAAAGATAAACTAGGAAATTTTTGAGGTCTGGCTCAGAGAAAAAAAAAGCCAGTTTTAAGCTTCACAATCACTACAAATACACATGTGAAATTAAAAAGTGACTACATTTAATAGGACCTGTAATTTCCACAGGAGGAATTTGAAGTGAATACCTTACCAAGAACCCTTTCTCCTCCACAGAGGAGTCCACTTGGCATTTTAACTTTAGATATATATGACCTTCCAAAGGAGACAAAACAGGAACCTGCAAAAAGTAAAACATTAAGTCATTTAATTTTGACATGTCTCAACTCTACCAGTTCAAGCAAGCCACCTGCACCAGGATGTTAGCGCTGTCTTGTTCTTAGATTTTTCAGCCAGAAAGAAGCAGTCAGTCTCAAGCAAGACAGTAATAACCACTTTGTTTCAAGTTCATTTAGAAGCTTTTCAAGATTTATTTGCTTATTAGTTTGCTCAGGACATATGCACAAAGATGCTTCTATTTAGAAAAACAGGCACTCCAAGCGTGGTTAAAAACAACACAAGGCACCAGTCCACACCCTGCAAGCTTCTGCCTCAGTTTGACATTAAGCTGTGTGGAAAATATCAAAGTGGGCTTAAACAGGATTAGCACTTGGATGCTGTAAGCATTTCTGGCAGATACTGATGTAGTAGTGCCTACTCAGATAAGTATTTGTATAAGAAAACCTAGAAGGGGAAAAGGTAATGAAAGCAGTTCTTCTCAACTGGCACTCAAGGTATTGATGTGTGTTAAGTCATTTCTAACACAAGAGGTTCCAAGCCCTATCTTCTACCACTAAAACAAAAAACCCAACCAACCAAACAAAGGGCAGCTTAATTACTGTACCACAGATTGGTTAAATGGTTATTTGATATTCAAGAGTTTTGAGGAGGAGCATGCAACAAGGACTGCCTTGTACTTCCCCCAATCCCTCCACACATAGCACCCCATTACACTGAGTGCTCCCACCACTACTGTCAAGAAATCACATCCCTTCTTCTTTTCCACAGGGAAGCTAAGAGACAAATTGCTAATTCAACAAGCAAACAATGATCTGCAGGGCATTCTACATACCATATTTTGTTGTTTAATCTGAATAAGCAATACTGTAAGAATCTTGAAAAAAAGAATCAGAAACATTGCTGCTTTGTCTTAATAGAAAAAACAGAAAGGTTGAAGTTGCTGCTCAAATACAAAGACAGAACCATTTGCCAGGGAATAGGCATATGTACACAACAATGAAGTAGCTTTTAAAGCCATGGAATCAATGTCAATCAAATGGAATTAAATTTTGCTAGTAGTTAAGATGAACAAGAATAACCCCAAGTAGTTAAAAGTGTACATCTGTAGGCCTCAGTGAAGCCTGCAGAACACTGAAATAGATGTTATGGTTAGAAATTAATTCAATCGCCTTTGAATTGTAGGCATGCTGCAGCTTCCTCCCAGACACGATACACATGTGCACAAGCAGGTGATAAATAATTTTTACATGGTAGATATACTCAACTAAGACAGCATGCATGGCTTGCTCATGTATTTGGCCCTACAGTACAGCAAAATTGTAAGCACCAGGCAGGAGTCTGCATGACCATTTGAGAAGCAAAAATAGTCCAATGTTTCCACATAATAGAAATAAGTTGCATCAGTCCTGGATTTTTATCAGCAAAGACAACTATAACCCTACATGCTACATCAGGGAACATTAGCTTCTATTGTACCAAATCACAGTAAAATCCATTTCTCAATGAGGGCTTCAAGGAAGTTTAGCCAATTCCCCACTTCAGGTTTGTGGGTTTTGCATTCCTTTCTGTTGTGGTTTAACCCCAGCCAGCAACTAAGCACCAAGCAGCCGCTCACTCACATCCCCTGATTCCCCCACCCAGTGGGATGGGGGAGAAAATTGGGAAAAGAAGTAAAACTCGTGGGTTGAGATAAGAACGGTTTAATAGAACAGAAAAGAAGAAACTAATAAAGGTAATGATAACACTAACAAAAGGACAACAGCAATAATAAAAGGACTGGAATGTACAAATGATGCGCAGTGCAATTGCTCACCACCCGCCGATCGACACCCAGCTAGTCCCCCAGCGGCAATCCCCCACCCCCACTTCCCAGTTCCTATACTAAATGGGACGTCCCATGGCATGGAATAACCCATTAGCCAGTTTGGGTCAGCTGCCCTGGCTGTGTCCTGTGCCAACTCCTTGTGCCCCTCCAGCTTTCTCACTGGCTGGGCACAAGAAGCTGAAAAATCTTGATTTAAGACTAAACACTACTTAGCAACAACAGAAAACATCAGTGTTATCAACATTCTTTGCATACTGAACTCAAAACATAGCCCCATACCAGCTACTAAGGAAGACAATTAACTCTATCCCAGCTGAAACCAGGACACTTTCTAATTTATGTCAGGAGAGAAGAATCTATTTTGTGGATTATGAAGTGTACCAATGAAGAGCTGTGTGACAATAAAGCAAAAAGGCTGTATAACAAATGGAACATATCAGTTATGCAGAGCCTACAACACCATTACTAATTACTAAATAAAGCAGGTCTCAGAACACCCTCCTGTACACATAATGAGAAAATACTACAACAATATATCCCCTTCAAAGGCAAGTGGGGTAGAGGTGGTAGAAAGAAAGCAATTTGTTGAACATCCAGCTAGATGAACACTGAAGCCCATAACTAGGCTAACTTGCATTCTGATGCAGTCATTCAGATATCTACCATAAGAAGTTGGCTTACTGTTGTAGAAGACTATCTGTAAAGATACTCAAAATAACTCTAAAGAATTTGCAAAAAATCGGTTTCTTAGGAGACTTTTGATTACAAATAGAAGATGATAATTTTGCTTAATTTTGAGAGAAAACATACAAAGTTATCTAAAACACTTTCTTCTGAGGGATCTGAGTTAATAGTTAACTAAAAACTACTTTCAGAGATTAAAGACCAATTATCAATTTACATAATTCCCCAACCCAAAAATGTATACACCAAGTAAAATATTTTACCTGCACATGTGTACAAATAAGAACTTCACATTTTGATATGTTTAGTACTTTCAAAACTTTAGTTCTCTATGATTGCTTTCCGCTTAAAAAACAAAGGTCTTGATAGGTCTTGACAGAACAAGGTCTCAATAGAATAAGAAACAAGATATGTAGTTCCCGAGTGATTTTAATTTTCTTCAGTGGCAACAAGTTCAGTTAAACCAATAGTTAGGCTGCCAGTCATTTTTCTCTGGTCTTCTATCAGCAGAGTAGCTGATTCTATGTTCTGTGCAGTTCATCAAGAAGTTGGCTCAGATCTCCTGATTAGCAGTCTAAGAGACACATTGATTTGTTTTGAAGAAAAACCCTTCTGTAGTGATCTAGGAAGAGACACCTGCTAGTTAAGAAAAAACCCTAGGTGGCCTAAGTAACTTTGAGTTCCAGCAGCATGCTTCTTATAAGTAAAAGACAAGGAGTAGAATTCTGCAAGTCTTAATGGCTCCTAACATGTTATGTTTAGTTAGTAAGTCTTTGTAAGCATTTTGCTAGAAGAATTAAAAAAAATAAATACTGCAAAAAGGCCAGACGGACATGAGCAACATGCACTAGGAAGCAGCTTCCTAATTGAAGTTGCAAACTAAAGCATCATAGCAACCTTGTCTGGGAACATATAGCCCAACAGTTCTTTTTCCTCCCCTTCAAAATTTATCTAGGGAAAAAAGAAACATGCTCTATGCAATTAATGTAAAGTTAAGGTTTATAAAAAAAAAAGACACAGTTATACACGAATACATTTTGGTCCTTTCTACCCTGAATTTTAACAGTATAAAAGGGAGGAATGAAACTCAAAAACCCTACTCTGGAAGCAGTTTGTTCTGTATTACAAATGCATGGAGCAAGTTAAAAAGCAGCTGTCTGGTACAGCCACAGGCCAAGTCAAAACTGAAGCTTCACAGAGGTGATAATTTTTTTGTTAAATTATCTGAGAAAAAGGGGAATTCTTATTCATAACTGTCAAAATTTGCACCTGGAAGAAAATAACCAAGTGATGGTTTCCCTAGAATTCTATTTGAACCTTGTGCTTGTGCTACAACTTACTAGTCCAGTCCACTGTCCTATCCTAAAGAGTAAACTAAAAAAGTTCAAACCCAAATTGCTGAATATAATGTGAAAGCCGATTCCCATAATTCTAAGAGCAAGGGGTTTCCAATAACCAAGCCATACACAAAGTAAGATTTCTACATGTAGTTCTGGTTAAGAGGAACACTTATGCTGAAGAACCAAATTTGGTACTTCTGAAGGTCACACAATCAGTAACAGCAGTGTAATTCAACTGTTAAGCTCTAAGAACTGTTTCAGTAAAGGAATCTGCTTCTATCTGCAAAAAGTAAAACATCTAAAAAGCAAGTTGGGATTATTGTGATATTTCGTTCTAATCTTATGCGCAAACAACCAATTCTTGTGACTTCATCTCTCAGAATCTATGATTGCAATACTACTATCATCACAATAAGACTTAATCAGCCAAGAAGAAAATTCATTCTTATGCTGCTGTTTGGATAGATAAAGCTGTAATTTAGTACTACCATAAGATGTAGTAACTTTTGAATTAATTTAAGTTAGTTTAGGGTAGCTGCTGGCATAAACACCTATTAAAACAGGTTTTAGATATAAGATATTACAAGGTTAGAGACTGCAATGAATGTAAGAATGTATTTTTTAACTTCTAAAGGTAAGAGCCAATAAACATATTCTGTTTAGACAAGGAACTAATGGTATAAAACTCAATAATAGCTCTCTTTCAAAAAATATTAAGATGGTTTGCTTCTACAAATTTAATTGGGATATGAAAAGAAACTCATACTCCTAAGTATATTCAAACAGCAATTTTTAAGTCAATTAAATGCAGAAAATTTCAAATACTTCATTATCATTAAAACTTGCTTAGTGTCTTATTTAGTGATAACTGCAAGACTGTAAAAGCAACAAACAATATGAAGACCACGTACAGAGATGCCAAGTGCATACATCAATATTTTTTTGAGTGAAAGCAAATCAGTAACCAAATGCCTCCATTATCTTTGCATAAGTATACCTTACATTGAGCTACAGAAAAGAACATCTGACATAAGTTTTTTTTTGTTGTATCTCAAATTACATTTAGACATACGAAATTAAATATGAGTAACAACTATACATAAATTCTTTTAACATATATATAAATAACGTTATATATATAAACCTGTATGTTTCAGTTCTAGGATGGTAATTTCTCCTGAAAACAGTAAACCCAGACTCATATTCTTTTCTTTAGTAGTATGCAATTACCTTTGGATTAGTAACCAATAATTTCCATTACCTTGTCCAACGCAAATTTGGCATTCCCTACAGAAGACAGCGATAGCTTGTGGGATCCAACAAGGATGAAATTAGTAGTGCGTACAGCATTAGGGCCACCTGGACTGGCCATGGCTGTGGAGAAAGAAATTAAAGTCAAGTCATAACACAACACGCAAAAGGCTTTATTTGTACTACTGTGTGCATGCCCTACTCAGTACTCCAGGAGAAGTACTCTTTGCAGTGCAGCCCAGCAGCACATTCAGACAGTATGTTGATGCATACCATTCCTCCTCAATAGCTCTTTTCTTTCAGAAAGAAGTTTTGAAATATTCACAAAGGAGAAGACAAAGCATTTTAAGAAGTCTCAGGGGGACAGAGAGCACTCTAGGGCACACTACAAAGTACACATGCCCTGCAGTAGGAACATGACTTTCAAATCTCTTAACCTGTCCAAGTGACATGCTGCAGTCTTCCAGAATTTGCACGCCTATATTCCTCTTTGCACTTATTATCAATAGAAACAAGTGCTACAGCTCAGGCACAGGAATCTGACTAGTTGCAGCAGCATGGTAGACATTCCAGAGTTAGTTCATGAGCTCCTTATTGCTGCAATTTGTACTAAAGCTAGGTCAAGTATCTTATATTGTAGTCAGACAAGCGTATAACACATTTTTATGTAGCTAGAAAAACACTCGGAGATACTGTTCTTCTCCCCCAAGAGCCAGAAATATAAAAACAGCACACACAAGCAATACTGCAGAATCTGTTCGTATTTTCAAGTTTGCTCTGTATTACTTTGTTGACATCAGACTCCAGTTTAAAAATCTTAAGATTTGTTTGAGTTCACCTGTTCAGGAAAAGGATGTAAGCCACAGGCATCTTTTACGAGATACTGACTTTGATTTTGTGAAGAGATCTTCCATTAAACATAATGGTAACTCAGAAATAAACACAGGGCCAGTTTCTGGGCTGGCAAACTGACATAATTCTGTGTTTATTACTCCCAAATTATCATCTGTTACAAGTATTATTTATTGATACACTGCCTTAGACAGCAAGTGTAGATTATTCATCTTGGCATAAGATGTTTAGATTTCACTTACCTGGAGTAAGAAGGGTGCTTTTCTAGAAAGAGAGAGAGAAATAAAAGCTTAGTGGAAAAGTAATTTCTGACAATTTCTACAGAATACTAAGCTAGGTTAGAAAGAAACTAGATCTGAAGTACTTTAAAAACAAATAAAAACAACTTGAAAAGAAAGTCTGAATAAATGTGTAGTAACTGCATATACATTGCCAGCATTACATATTTAGAGCTGTTACCTATTTCTTGAGCTGATGGCTGAAGAGTTTGGCAGAAAGCTAGACAGTTTATAGTTTCAACTACAGAACACAAAGAGCCTACTATAGGCACAGCCTTATTCAGTGTGAGAACATAGACTTTGAAAGTAGTCATAACCAGATCTTACTACAACATTACATTCATACTTACAGAGGTAATAGATGTTAATAATCTCTTTGGAGTGATAACCTACAAAAGAATATAAGAAGATAAATGCAGTTGCTACTGAATTTGTCCATGTCAGCGTGAAAATTAGACAGTGAAACTACTGAAGGCTTATCTAAATAAATTTTGAATGGATACTAGTTCTTGTAATGAGTAAGTCTTGTTTTTTGATGGGATGTATTTCAGTGGAAGGAATACTACGTATTAAAGAAATATTTACTGCAAAAAAGTTTAAGTATACATTAGCTTGGGATGGACAGCATGTGTTTAAAAAAGCTAAACTTAGTAGACTGTTTTCCTTCATGTAACAGGGCTTCAAAGTTACATTTGCTTATTAAAGATAAGAGTTAACAATACAAGTACAGAGATGTTCAATGTGCTACTGTTGTACATTATCTATATTTTGAAGTGGAAAAATCTCGAAGTTTAAGTGAGACTGTATATTAAACATGAACTGGAATTATGTACTCATCTATTCTTGAAGTTGAAAGACAAGTATGAGAAGCTTGTCAAAAAGCATATACAGGATGTCATCAGCAAACCAATAATCCCACATCAACAACTTACCTACAGTGCCACAAAAACATTCAGTTTTAAATAAAGATTCCTCTAAACTACAGCACAGGAGAGAAAGAAACCCCAGACTTCAAACTGGTTTTATTGGGGGATAGATGGAAGCATGTTTTCACTGTGCCAAATGTAAGTAAATATTAAAGAAAGTTCCTATTTCTGTTTGCAGAGACAGGATTTTAGTACTCATTCCAACTGTTTTGAAAGACACTCAAGTTTCTTGTTTTTATTAAGTGACAGATATCTTGACAAAGAAGAAATCAAGCCTAAAAATCATTAATACGCTGTGTGCCCAGCTATTAGAATGACAAGACGGAAAAAAAACCCCAACTAAAAACACAACCCCAAAAAAACCTCTAACCACCTCCTGAAAGCTACTGGCCTGTCTGGGGTCACAAAGCCTTAATAAAGCACAAACACTTGAAATGTACACCCTATCCGAGCTGAAATGTTTATGTTCAAGGAGTTAAAACATTTTCTTTAAAAAATAAGCATCTAGTGCTTTTACTTAACACTGGGAAGAAAGAAAAGTGTTGCAGTTGACCAATAGAGCCTTTAAGCCAAATCAAACTGCAGGATAGGGCATATTGACTGGTGTAGTGTAAATAAAGTGGAGAATAAGGGCACTAAATCACTATTAGAGGCACCACACCTAATAAATGAAAGTTTGCAAAGCACAGCATTTGGCAGAACTAGTAAGATGACTTCTCCTTCCTCTCCAATATATTTCAGACTTAACCAAGTGCTGCAGGTCCAATCTACTAATAACTGCAGGACTCCATAACCCATCTGTCATTGCAGATGTTCCAAGAAAGAACAAGAAGAGTAAAAGCAAGCAACAGATTTTCTAAGACTATTAGTCAGTTCTCCCTGAACACTGCAGTCTTCCTAGTGTACCTTCTGTTGAAATACAACATACTGATTTTCATGTTTCATTTACCTTAGATTTATTTGCCTTTTTCCTTTTATCAGTGCTTGTAACTTCTTTTCTCTGCACCTGTAAGGCAAGAAGGTATTAAGAAAGTACAACACATTCTTATCCCTTACACATCCTCTTGACAGGAACCAGTACATACCAAACTGTAAACTTCTATATTTATTTCGAAGTCATTTGACACATCATGCCTAAAAAAGAAGAGAGGGGAAAAAATAAGTTAAACACAGACTGAAACAAAAAAGGTTGTTGGGGGTGTTTGTTTTTTTAAAGTTACTCTTTACTTCTTCGCTCCTTAAAACAGTCCAAGTGAGCAGCTAGGTTGTACAGAAGAGAAGCTTAGTCATAGTGCTGACTAATGGCTAATCTCTTATTAGTAAGTCACAGTTTGTTCCTGCAACCCAATATGGCTGTTCGAGATCCATTCACTTCTACAATAGTACTCTTCAGTGCAAGCAGCATTGCTGGTTTTAAGACTTGAATGTATTACTATTTCAAGATGCCTTTGAGAAGCAAAAGCAAGAACTCAAAGAACAAAAGGGGAGAGAGAACAGGGGCAGATAGAATGCATCTGCAATTTCTCAGATTGAATACATCTACCATTTCTCAGATTGCACCCTTCAGTCCACTCCTGGCACACGTTTCTAGAAACAGAGACTGGGTTGAGTAAAGAGCTTTAAGCGAAAATTCCAGTTGGCTTGGACTTTAAAAAGGGAGTTTGCTTATTTATTTTGGAAGACTTTTACTAACAACCATCCATTTGAACTTGCAAGACCTTTTTAGCTAATATATGAGAGTTGAAGTTTTAGTTTTAAGAGTACTATTTTTTTCCAGATACCAAAACCAAATAGCTATATAAAACGTTAGTTGCTGCAAAAGAGAAAAAACACATAATCTCAGGCAGAGCAATCCATCTGTCATTGCAGGTGTTCCAGGAGAGAACAAAAGTAGAAAAAGCAAGAGACAAATTAGCTGATGGATGGTAGAATAAGTCTAGACCACTCTTTTGAGAGAAGTGTATTCCAGCTATTTCTTGAAGCAGGAAATACCGATACCACAAGATCTCACCATATTTGTTTGCAGAATATGCCATCCTTATAAGAAGATTTTAAACCTTTTTATGCATGCTCCACTATCGGAGTTGAAACTGGTTCCGAAACAGTTTCTTTATACTTACATAATAAATGTCGTAGTAAAAGTAAGAGCGTCTCCATTCAGGGAGCTGGCAGTACTTGCTAATGGAGTTGCAACCATGTTTTCTGCTCCAGATCTCAGTATTATTACATAGTAGTAATTTGCTGCTTCTGTAAATACATATCAGATGGGTTTGTTAGCAAGAGGTGTCCAAGTATCTAAAAACCCTCAAGTACCGCATTGCCATTAAACACATCTCTGTTTCACCCCACTTGAACGCTTGGTTACAGTCAAAATTTGCTTATCAACTTACTCTAAAAACAATTTATTATTCCTACTGTCTCCACAGGATTCACAACTGCATTGCTGCCTGGGCATCTCAGGCCAGACCTATACTACCCAGTACATGAGAGGGGAGAGGAAGAACTTTGTCAGATTCATCAGTTAATCTTAGTACATTATACTCTGTTGTTACTTTCTAGGCCTGCCAGCTTAACTAGACAGCAGCTTTCACTACTGCCCGTTCTCATGCTTTTTTCAGTCCTATGAAGGAACTGGTTATCCAGACAACTCATTTCCCTAACTTTTCACATAAGGGGAAAAAAAAAAGAAAGATTACCACAAGCACACATCTCAATAGTGTCAGGAGATAATTTGGGATTTGTGCACCAAATTGTTGAGCAGTAAAGCAAGAAAGCATTGCATAATGTAATACTGCATTAAAAAAAAAAACCCAACAGACAAAAAACAAACAAGCCAAAACAGTTTGAATGCTCTGTTGTATAGGACAAGTCACAACTTTCAGAACAACTGTTGAAGACTGCAGTAAGCATTAATTTGTACTCTTTATATTTGATGTTCTCTTCAGAGATGAAAGTACTTAATAGAGCTTCTGGTGCACAATGTATAGCAAATGCTGCACTTCCAGAATAAAGTTTTGATGACAAATAGTTCATAGCTGTTTGTTTAGACAATTTGGTTTTGAGAATTACTGATAGAAATGAAACTTATATTTTTGTAACCATTAGGGAGGCTTTCCTATAAACAGAGATGAATTCTCTTATGCAACAAGAACTGTAACATGTCAGGAGTGGGGTGGGGGTATAAATTAGATCAGATATTTATATTTATATTGTTAGGCTGGTTTTAAGACTTGAATTTGAATTTATTTTGAATATATATTTGAATATATAAAAAACACACTTTACATTTCATAGGACAGTTAAACAAGAAAACAAGACAGACGTGAGTTCGTTAGTAGAAGGTTTTGCAACCAATATTAAACAATAGTTTGTCCAATGACTTTTGTCCTCAAGCTTTAGTGAGGCAAGAAGTAGGAACCTGTCTAGCTACAATCATGTTCTGTAGCATTATATAAAATAGCACAGGTAGGCTTGCAGATTCTTTAAACAACCCCCTGACAGAAACTTACTATGTTCCAGGATAAGTCTCTAGACCTACAGAGAGATATTGCCAGATATTCTTCCGGAACAAAAGAAGAAACAAATCCACATTTTAATGCTTTAATGACTTAAACATGACAAGATAATGGAAGACTAGTCTTTGTAAGTTAAGTATTTTGGGCTGTTAACAGAAGGACTGTAAAAAATTAAGCCTTAATGAGCATTTCACAACACCACAGAGGTCAGAATTTATTTAGTGATATTTAGTGCTAGACTTGCATCCATCAAAAAAATTCCAAGGGAGCAAGAAAGAAGACAACCTGAGATACAAAATTCTACTTCCTCCCCAACAGGTTACAGAGGACCACAAAGATCTTAAGACTGGCTGGGAAAGTCTTGATAAGTTTCTTGAACCTCACAAGCCGGAAAAGGATGCAACTAAAACAACTGTGGAAAATTTTGAAAACTTAGCCAAAAAGCAGATCAATTCAATGTAATTGCTAAATTTTCATTGCTCCCAGAGTTCTGAGAAACACCAACACAGAAGACAAAAAACCGAGAATGAACCAGAAATATACGTAGGGAGGATGAGGGAAGGCATAAAGCTTTCAGTGGCTAGTTTTACCTGGCTTTTGAACCGTACCACACACAAAGTCTGCTTTTAAAGGTAGACGCATTTCTGAAATGGAAACAGATCCCCTGGATGGAGCAAATTCAGTAGATGTAGAAGCAGCTTTATTTCTTTTACTATGAGGTCCCTCACTCTTCAGTTTATTCAGTTCTTCCAATAAAGCAGTTCTCTTCTCAGCTGCATAGAGAAATCAATTTGTTATAGTTGTAATAGAGGAACAAGTAGTCCTGAACAATTTATATATTTTTTTGCCATAAGTATGTAAAATTCAGCAGAAATGTTAATCATCTTCCAGAATAGGAGGAGTATTAGGGGCAATAAAGATACCAAAAATGTCCTCTTGCCTATAGAAGAAGCTGAGACAGAACAGATATTGTCCTCTCCCGTTTTCCAGGTGAAAAACTATAAATAAGTGGCTATAAGGTAGCATAATAAATCATTGCCAGAATTCATCAATTCTTCCCAAAGTGTTCACAACAAAGAATTGAACTTGTGTCTAAAAACCTACTTGCAAGGAGAAGAAGTCTCTCTGCCTCTGCTTCTTCTTGTGACCCTTTTCCATGTTCCTCATCAAAACAGCAGTTCAGAGCTTGACTGGCTTGATGAATCACTGTCTGCTGCATATTGATCTCATTATTCAGCTCCTAGAGTAAACCAGTAGTAAAAATAATTAGCAAGAAGAGAGAGATTTAGTATTATATTCAAACATGGAAATGTCTTGAGATTAGCATTTTTGGGGCTATCCTTCAGAAAAATCAGACCATTTAGATAGTAAACTACAAAAATCTTGCAGTTTACAGTTACTTCTGCAAAAGAATATTGCAGCACAACATGTTTTGACCTCAGAGGTGATTTAAATATGGTGGGGAGTCAATAACTTCAACGCTTGTACACTCCATATCCAGTCTAGTCTTCCCTTCACCAGGGGAAGGAGCAGTTAACCAGAAATTCAGCAATGTAGATGAACAAGGCACCAGTAAAGATCAGAATATTGCCTACTGAAAGTATCTAGTTATGAATCCTGCCTAATTCAAAGGCAGTAATAAGATATAGATTCCCCATCCCCATCTCAAAACAATGGCTTGTTCTCTCCAGACTTACTCCATAGCATGATCCTTCTAAGAGATGCATTAGCTGTTCAAATTATGCAGTATCATTCCCTATTATTAGATATTTATGCTAACAACCTAATTTTGCAGTTCTAAGCAGTACGTCAATGTCCTGGACATTCACAGGGGAAATTAAGTGAGGAAATAGTAAATTAGAAAAAGAATTTTAAAGAAGTGTATTAGATACCTGCATTTTCTTTTTTATATTGACTTGATCAGATGGGCCATTCTTTTTCATTTCTAGTTTAGAAGTAACATCTTCTTTGCGAACAATGATTTGCTTTATTGAAGGACGATCGGTTTCTTTAAATCTTTGAGACCTATATGCATCAACACTTTTAAAAGAGGAAACCCCATTAAATGTTTCACAGGCGTGGCAAGGTTTTTTTTTTTTATATACGTACATATGTGCCAGGTTTTGATATTTTCCAACTTGCCTAAATGGCTTTAAAAAAAGCATTCTATCAGCTCATTTTAAGTTTAAGCAATATAAAGATTACACAGAGACAATCTTTGATAAAGGCAGAGATCTTAGAAAAAAGCTTTGTTTGTAGTTTAAGCAGTATGCTTCTTTAGAAGAGTCAAGAAAGCCAGTGTCTTAATTTGTACACTTAGAGAATCAGGTGTGGGGTTTTGTGTTTATTACCTATATGGAAGGTTGCGATCTTCTGACATAGAGCCTATACTGTCTCCGGATTCTGCCCTGGGGACTTTAGTCCTTTGGAACTTTTCAGACTTCAGACTTATATCACTGATACTACTACCTTCACCAGTTGACTTACAAGGAGAGACAAAGGCCTGGGAAGAAGAACAGGTTATATTACAGATTTCTGTCTACATTAATCATTATCTGTTTTCTCTCACCTTTACTTGTTTTGCATATAAACAGTAAATTTGGAGGCTGCTTAATACTATTTAACAGACATTTTACAAATATTTCCTAGGACATGGAGCAAGCTAATTTATTTATTTCAAAGACACCAATAGATCATTGAACTCAAGAAGATTTTACCCTTAGTTTCCAAACTGGTACATTACATAATTACTTCTCTTCAGATTTTCATCAGTAACCACTTCACTGAATGCATGTATACCACTGGAAGTCCAGCACAAGTAATAGATGTATATACTCAAGCTTGATTTAGCAGAAGTTAAGCCACTTGCTTAGCAGAGCATCCCATATGCTATGCTATTTTCAGAGGAAAATAACTTCACCTCATTATGTTTTCATCAGCAAAGTGTCATTTGTAACTTCTCTATTTGCCCAGGTATCACAAAACAACAAAACATCACCGTTCACAAACAAATTGTACATCCATGGGATAAACAAGCCCTTCCCTACCTCCTCATAACGCTTACCTCTGGACCAACAGATTCCACTAGAGGGGTTAACAGAGACATTGATGAAATATTCAGTGACTCTTCCTGCTCCTCCTCCTCACTTTCACCTTCCAAGCTCATGCTCATTTCTTTCTTCAGCTTTTCTATGTCTGGACCATCCTCTTGAAGAACTTCAAAAATTTCATTTATCACTTTTGAGCTATTCGTCTCATCATCCACACTCATTTCAATTTCGTATACTTCATCTGAAGGGTGATGTTTATAAAATATTAGTAGCATCAAGACTGAACTCTTCATTCACATTAAGTGAGCAGAAAGATGTTAACAGGTAAGCCAACTATTTTTGTCTTTCAGGTAAGTTTGATTAAACAGCCCTTATTATAGTCAGGCATATAGAATTCTAAAGTATACTTCCATCCTTATTTTAATATACTATTATCACATATACTGCATAATTGATACAGCGAGGGAATAAAAAGATGCACTTGTTCAACAAGTTTCAACATTTTAGTTCAAACAGGTCTGAAACTTAACTGCAAGTCCCATGGTCGAGCAGTCATTTCTGTCCTTTTGCAATAAACTTTTAGTATCAGCATTTTAATATTCCTTGAAGACTTGAATGTCACGAGAGAAGGATAATGATAAAAGAAGTTTCCTGATTTGTTTTACATAAACCTTGTTACAAAACACACATGAGCACCAGCAGGTGTATGGCAAATTAATTGTTCAGACTTGAAGGATATTAACACTCTGCTGGACAAGTGGCAACAGATAGCTAAGTGCATTAATATATACCTACTCAATACTAACCTTTCGGTTTCTCAGCAAGTTGTTCAAGTCTTGAGATAGACATCACTTCTAGCAGGCTCTTTGGCTCAGTGGTCTTCAGAAGACTGGGTTTATCAGTCTCTTCACATTTAGAAGCATCTAAGTAGTTTATAAAAAAGAAGTCACTGAAGATTATGTCTAGCCTTTGAATTTTTCTATTTTTTTTTTTTTAGTTATTGACTTTTGGAGGTTTGATAGTACAGCTGACAACTTACAAACAGCCTACTAGATTAAGTATTCCAGTTAGCTTGCTGTCAAAAAAAAAGCATTAGAATACATACCCTCCACAACCTGTACAGCTAGACTTCTATCTTATAATCAGAAAGCTGATAGCACAAGAAACAATGCTGAAACAATAGTAGAGTGCAGCCACTTGAGACCAAAGAGGGAAAATTTAAAAAACAAATTAACAAAAACCACCACACAAAAACCACCATACCAAAACCCAACAGCAGGATATCATCCTGTTTTGCTAGAAGCACATTTGATAGCCTGTTTGCCCGTAATGCCTATAAGAAGCATTAACTAAGTTCACTCTTTTTTCACAGAGAACTGGAGGCTCTTCCACTCATGTTGTGGTTTAACCCCAGGCAGCAACTAAGCACCATGCAGCCACTCACTCACTCCCCCCCAACCTAGTGAGATGGGGGAGAGAATCAGAAGAAAAAAGGTAAAACTTCATGGGTTGAGATAAGAAGAGTTTAATAGAACAGAAAGGAAGAAACTAATAATGATAACAACAACAATAATAAAATGAAAATAATACTAAAAACAAGTGATGCACAATGCAATTGCTCACCACTTGCCAACCGAGTTCCCCAGTTAGTTCCCAGCAGCGATCCAGCCCCTGCCCCAGGCCAACTCCCCGCCCAGTTTATATACTGGGCATGACGTCACATGATATGGAATACCCATTTGGCCAGTTTGGGTCAGCTGTCCTGGCTGTGTCCCAACTTTGTGTCCCTCCAGCCTTCTTGCTGGCTGGGCACGAGAAGCTGACAAATCCTTGAGTTAACATAAACACTAGCAACAACTGAAAACATCAGTGTGTTATCAACATTCTTCTCATACTGAACTCAAAACATAACACTATACCAGCTACTAGAAAGAAAATTAAGTCTATCCCAGCCAAAACGAGGACAATTCAGTAAGCACCACAAAGGATGTCACAAGCATCTCTGAATTATTTTCAGATGCGCTACTCTAAGAATTAATAGCATAAGGGGGTACTGACAAAGGAAGAGTTCCCTCCCATTAGATTATTGGGGAAATTTGGATACTCAGGTACAGTTTAGATTAAATCTGTAACTGACAATTCTCATTCACTCTCCCTACACTTATCATACATGGAAGTATAAAATACAGGTAAACCCACTGAGAAACGAAAAGGTGGTCTTGCCTTGCCAATCTTTCAAATGGTATAGGAGTGCAGAGTATTATCATCACACAAGAAGGTTTAGACAAATAAGAGGTGACCAAATAAGAGGTCCAGTTCTATACATCAGTGCGTGCTACTCGCCTCTATCTGCTCATGAATGTCAAGGGTAGTGCTTCCGTCCAGTATTAGCCACAGGCAGTGACAGTTCTTACCTGAAGACTCCACACTGGGAGACTTCGCTTGCGTGTCACCTGCTGGTTTGTCTTCTGCTGATCCAAAAGCAGTGGCATCTGAACTAGGAGGATGTTTTGGACTAGCCTGAGATTGGCTTTCCTGGCAAAAATAAAACCATAGTACATTCAGGAGGTAATGGTCAAAGTGACTAAAAAAACTGCCAGACAGAAACACATTTTAACACCTGCTAGGAAAAAAAAAGTTGCCTATCCAATATCAAGAAGGATCCTATTTATTTATATAAGAAATTCAGCTGAAGTACTAAATACTAAATTGAGTATGTGTAAGGAGCTTTCTTTTGTTTTTAAAGTTACAGAATATAAAAAACCTGCACTTATCAAATAAATAAGTCAGTCAATTGGCTCAAAGCAGCACCACTTGTCTCCTTAATTGATTCTGCAGGAGGAAAAAAATCTAATAATTTGTTAATAATCACACAAACCACTTGACAAGCAGTGTTGCACAGCCTGGGCATTCACAAAGCATATGTTTTTATCTTTTATTTACATTTGCACATCTGTCCCTGTGTTCAGAACATGTTAAAGCAATTCACAGACTATCATCTTTTGATACATGGAGGTAACATTACCATTTTAGCTTCTGGAAGTTTTCTCTTCGAACTTTCACTTTTCTCTGCACTCCACAGATTGCCCCTATCAAACCGGCCACGAAGGCATGCAAGTTCTCGTTCACGTTCCTAAGCAAGTAAAGGGGAACAGGGGAAAAGCTGACAGCTTTAAGATGTCAAAGCATTTCAAATTCCTCAGGTAGGTGCAGACCAGTAAGAATCTTCCCCAAGCTTATAAGCAAGCTACGAACATAGCAAGTCATACCTGCTTAAGCTGGAGTGCTAAACTGGCAGTAGAGGAATTCTCATTTTGTTTGAGAAGCCTTTCCTGGATTGTCCTTGTATTTGGGGTAACAATGGGTGTTCTGCACCCTGAAGTATTCGTAGCAGGACTCCGTGCACTACGCTCTTGACAGCGCTCCCCAAAGCGTTCCAGGAAGGGCTTAATTCCTGATCCCCCTACAAAACCAATTGTTTTGCCTTGAAAGAAACTCTCAAAACCACAGAAAGAAATCACTGCAATTTTGCATCCTGCTGAACGTTCTCAATGAAGCAATTAGGCTGTCCTTTACAGCTCTTGCTCCGTTATAGTTTATACAAATTAAACCTGAAGTGCAAATCACCACAGTAACAGAACACTGAAGTTAAAGCAGCAAATCAGAGCTAATAAATGTCCTTCTCTTAAAGTCCACATGTGATCCACCAGTTATTTAAACTGGCTTGCTTTCTCAACATTTCCTCTACAACCAGCCTCACTTGCATCATTCATGTAAATGAGCATTCAAGTACATAATGCAGATACATTGTTTGGCATCCGCCCCACTTTATTGAGCTTGTCTTTTATGGTCAGCATAGAGACACACGGTTGCTCTACTGGCCATAGCTTCAAAGACTTCAAGTTATTAGTCCAAGTTTCTGAAGCAGTTGAATTTAAAACTGGGCATGATCACTTGCTTCAACACAAATACTACCACTGAAAAGAAAGACACTATGCAAAGTTAGAACATCTATGTGACATTTAGCTTTGATTTGTTCTAACATATGCAGACTCTTTACCTGATATCAATTGGATACACATAGTATCCAACAATTTTAAAGAAGCTTTGAATAGTCTCAATTAACTGATGCTACCAGGATACATTTTTACATAGAGAGAAAAGTTACATTGATTTTGCTCAAGAGTTACTAAAATGGTGTCCAAGAAAATACCCTTGCAAAATATGGAAGGTGTTCATTTATGACATTATCACAGAGCTCTTTGGGACTTTACGCAAGTTACAGCACAAAATAAGCATTATCTAATATGTTACCATAAATTCTTAATCAATATGTAGTTTTCAACACAGGACACAAGCCTAATTTGAATGAACATTTATTGAAGCTGAAAAACAGCTTACCTGGTGTTGTGGGTTTACCCTTAGGTTCAAGTTGCACATGTGTTCCTTTGACTGGCTCTACTTTGGACTGAACTGGTTGAGGCAAAGTTGATTTTGCTGTTTGTGTACGCTTTTCAGCTTTCTGAGGGCTGCAGGGATTCTCTGTTAACTGTTGTCGTAGTTCAGATTCTTTAGAACAGGGAACAGTGACTCTTGAGGATTGTGTTAAAAAATTGTTTGAATCCTTAACAAGGAAAAAAGGAATAATGTTAAGATGAGACTGTACATTCTTATTCTCTCAAGAGGAAAAAGAATGAAAGCATTCTGCACAGCATACTATAACACACCTCTTCCATCAACAATAGAAAAAGCTGAGAACAAGTGCTATAAGCTTTTTGTAGATTTCTTTTATCCAGTATTTCAAATTGTTTCAGCATTTGATTCCAGGTACTTTTGCCAGCTACTTTAGGTACTTTCCCACATTTCCCTAAACAAGACTGCACATGGCAGATATTGTCATTTCATAAATGGCATAAATTGAACAATAGGTATCTGGTACTGCTAATTTCAGCATTCTGACTAAATTTTCATACAGCAATAAATATTTACAGTTTAAGTCAAGCAACTACATGAAGTTACAGAGTGAAACCCAGTATCTCTGCAAGAAGCCCCTTTCTCATGGTCAAAAGGGCAGCAACCAATTACTTTGACACCAACTTCTACACGACTTAAGTACACTCGTCTTTAAGTATCAATAAAAGGGATTCTAAGGTGTTTCAGGTCTGCTATTAGAAAAGGGCATGTGGGATTGCAATAAAGCAAAAGTTGTAAATAGGCTAAGGTTGCTCACACCAAGTCTTTAAATTCAGATTAAACACTTATGGGCTAACATTTGTCCCCCCAATACTCAAATCAATTTTTAATAAGCAACTAAATCAGACACTCACCTCTATCTTTGAGTTTGCTGGTTTATTAATAGAAGCCTCAACAAGCCTTTGAGAACAGGATGCAGCTTCCTGCTTTACACTGCTACTATTGATTCTAGCAGATGCTCCACTTGTAGTGGACAATTTGGATAAACAAGTAGTGCCAGGCTGTTCTTGTGCATTGTTTTGCTTTGCAGATGGATGACTTAGGTCATCTTCCCAGGAACCAATTGTAGCAGCAAGGTTAGCTAAACGGCCTCTTCTCCCAATAGGGGTATCACTTACCAGGGCACTAGATGTCTGCTTAGGTGGAGAAACAGACAGATCTTTTGACTGGAGGGAAGACAGAGGAACACATTCAGAGGGATCTGGAAAAAGAAAACACATTTATTTTGCTACTAAAATATACTGAGTTATATTTGCATCTTTTGCATTTTGCTATGTATTAAGTTTATCAACAGTTAGATGTTCTTTCCATGAACAGAATTAAGCTACTAGCTCTGAAGGCGTTGAGACTAATCAAGTCAAATTAAAGCTCATTGCAAAGACAACATATTTCTAACCAAGCAGTTTACTAGTTTTATGTCACTGTTGTTATGAGCAAGGTATCACACTAGTAGGGAAAAAAAATGTGTATAAAATGAAGCTGCAGTCAATAGTTTCATTATTTTAGGCCTTCCCCAGTGCTGTCTAAGAATTCTTTACAAAAACATTAGCATTCACACACACAAAATTATCTTCTGCTAGCAAACATAACCATCAATGCAAATGCTGAGAAATACCAATAATGCTTAGCAAGCGGAATATACCCTCGCTATCCCAGCAGCGTCGCTGTTCTGCCAATTTCTGCATACGTGTTTTGACTGAAAGGGCTGCAGGAGTTTCTGACTTGGTGTTTGTTTTTCCTTTCTCAAGAGGCTGAACCAATGAAGCCCTGTTAGAAGCAGTTACATGCAACTCTGAAGTCATCTCAGGATAATGATTGCTTGTGCAACTTGAGGGAACTGGCTGTATGTTCTCCGAACTGGAAGCCTGAGTCTCCATATCGTTAGGGCAGAGCCTCTTCGATGGTGATGGCTTTGTACCAGGTTTCGCTGTACAGGTCAGAGTATTCAAGCAAATTAGTATTCAAACAATCTAAAATATTTTCAGAGACAGCACAAAACTGTAATGCAATGATATGCCTCCCCAAAAACTGCCCTTCCCAAATTCTACCCAGGACAAGGCACTATCTTTGGCATTATACAGTTATTTTTAAATAACTTACTAATTACTTAGAGCATCTGCTCTCAGGTTAAGTTAAACATTAGCCGTATTCATTCCCAGTGGTCAGGTAACTGCATCCATCAATGTTTAAGATAAACACAAAGAGTTTTCACTTGCCCTTAGAAAAAAAGGAGATGGGACTTATATCAAAAGACAATCTTTATTAAACTTGTTGCAAAATACCTTCTTCACCAGGAAGAGGTGCCTGGTTACCAGTTTCTAACAAAGGCTCTCTGACCCTCTTGGTCTGCATCGTGGGTCTCAGTCCTGTCTTGGGCCGCTCAGCCATTTTCTTCTGCAGGTTCTCTCGCCGGGCACGGGTTCTTTCAAGGAGTTTCTGAGTAGTCAATAAATCATGTGTTACCATACATTGCAATAAGTGTGTTAACTAGTAATAGCTCAAATTAAAAATGTTTGAATTTTATATAGCATATACTAAGATCCACAATACCAGAAATTTATAGTGAAGGCTACATTAAGACAAGCGCAGCTCTCAGATGTTGCCAACTGATCTACTGTAATGCAACACGATAGAAATATTCAAAGCCTGGTTTTCTGACTGGCTGTCCCTCCTGAAAGCAGAACAAACAAGACATGCTTTCTACCCTGCCAACTACATGTTTTTTCTGTCTACCTCCTTCTTCTCACTGTGATAACCTCCGATCTCCATGCTTTGATTTCACTATTGCAATGCCCACAGCTTCTCCCGTATTCCACAAGTACCTGTTAAATAAAAGGTAGCTTACACTGTAGCACATTCCAAGCTACCTCCTTGCTATCTGGCCAGTCAGAACATGTTTGCAGGTTATCTGAAGTTCTTTGGCCTACCAGACAGACAATAGGCTGCAGCATTTTCTTCACAGAAGCAATGGTTTGGGTCTTTTCACCTAGCCACAAACTTTCATGAAAATTGTAGAAGCAGTTAAGTTTGAGACACCTACTCTTTTATTAAGAAGAGGTGTAGCTAGCCAGTTCCAGTCATCAAATCAACTAGTGTCTCCCATTAGCTTGGCTTTCAAAGGAAACCGGGCTAAAGAGACACAAGTAATGGCAGAATTTAAAAAAAAAAGAGAGAGAGAGAGAGAAAGAGAGAGAGACAAGAGGCTTCTACAGAGCCTGAAGTAATCAAAAACATTTGAAAGTAGGTTTTTGGGGGTTTTGTTGTTTTTTGTTTTTTTTTTTTTACTGAATCACCACATGACAGTCTTGAACTGTCAAGTCCTGCTAGTAGGGTTTTTTTGGCACCTCGGTAAAGTACATCGTCAAATCACCTGATTAGCACTAACCCTCTAAGAAAATAATCAACATTGAAGTAGTTGCCAAGTGGTCATAACAAAAATTTCAACAAATTAAATGTATGGTTGTTAATACTTTAAGAAAATGTTACTATTACACCTTCTAAATCAAAAGGTCAATTTCTCTTCCTCAAGCTTAAGTTTTAAGAATAGACTGATGTTATAACTAGTTGTCTTAATAAACAGGCTATTTATCACAATATATCTGTATACAAAGGAACATATAAAGATATACCAATTAAGCTACCTAACAACATTCTCTTTCATTCCCTATCCATTGGAAATTTGAATACTATGATCATATTCCATACCACAGAGCTGTTTTAGTAAATGTTCCACACTAGTGGAAAAATTATTCCTTATAGCATCCAAGTTTTAAATAATTGGATGAAGTACAAGGTTGTGTTTTGTTTTTTTTAAAATACTGCATTATCACTCAGTTTGATCACACCTGAAAGATACTTAATTACTCCTTTGATCTAGGTTTTAAGGCTTTTTGAGACAAGCAATTGTGTGATTGAACTAATGGCCTTTAAAGGGAAGCATATAAACTGCACTTGTTTCGTGGCACATAAATTATTGTGAGAACTGTGCCAGCCATTACGTGTCCTGTTGCACAACAATTAAATACACATTTCACATTTTTAACTGTCTAAGGCTGAAGTCTTAACAATGTTCCATCGTAGGACAAGACAGGACAAATGGAACGTCAATCTCAACAGTTTTTTGTGAAAGCAAAAATCAGCTTGCCTAACTTCCATAGAAAAGGAGGATTTGGGGGGAGAAGAAAGAAAAAAAAAGTGGGGAGGGATGACAACATGAAATGCCAGGAGTGCCTTCAATGCTAGTTGTGTCGACAAGTCAAGTTTCCTTATTTCAACCTCCAGAAGGCAGAGCTACAAAGTGCAGGTAATACCCACATAAAAAAAAATCTTAAAGGCTCTATAAACTAACTGTTCTTCTTGCACAAAGTTAAGTAGATCTCCCACAACAGTATTCCTACAGTTCTATTCAAATGCAGTCACATTCCTTTGTTTTGCTAGTTCAGTAAAATGGAGTTTCAGTTATTACAAATAGGATGTGACTTCCCAAGAATGCACACCTCTGTTGTTTAACTCCAGCTCCTATTGGCTTTTCGTTTCTCAAGTTTTCCATGCAACTGCCATAATTCAAACTCTGCTATTACACATGATGAGTAAGCCAGTCACCAGAACTTGAGACTTACTTTTCAAATTCATCAACAGGGTATTTGCTACAAGTACATTCTCCAAGTGTTCTGATGACAGCCAAAGTTTCAGAGTAGGACGTAGCTATTTCATTACATCTAGGAGTCTGGGAACTACTAAGTTGCAGTTAGAGAATCACTGTTTGTGTTGTAGAAGCACCTTCTAAAAGTCAGAAAAGGCCTTCCCACTTTAAATGTTGATGGGGAATCTTGGTTTTAAAAAACTATGTTTTAAAGTACATTTTTAGCAGCATTAGAGAAGATACTCAGGCCCATATGTGTTTGGAAGAATTTGTTCTAACTGTCCTGCTTTAACTAGCAGAATGCAGCAAAGGGAGCAAATTTATCCATGAGATTGAAGGAACAGTTAACTCTAAACTTCACATATGCAAATTTTCCCCTGAGCAATTGCATCACTCACTTCTCTTTTGTCATCCTTCATGCTAGGAAACCATACTTGGCTCTACGAATGTTAATAAGTACTTCAAAGTGCAAAATAAACTAGACTGTTTGTAACATTCTGTAGTACCAAACACAAAGCCTTTTGTGCAAGAAATGTGAATTATACAGTCAGCTATAAACTGATTCACAAATAGTATGCTCATTGTGACCCTAAAAAAGTATTCACTGCACCATCTCCTCAGTGCGTTCTGTATTAATAATTTGGTTGAGATTCAGAAGGTTATTAGTTTTTGTTTGTAAGATTAATCAAAAGAAACATTATTTCAGAACTGTCTGATTTGAAAGCATTCCACTGAATCTTAGAGCAAGATTTATTTGAGCTTACATTCAGTAAGACTGGGACAAAATTTGTTGCTGTAAAGTGATCAGCAAACACTGAATTAACAGCATGCTTTGGCCAATTAAGGATCAAATTACACTGGTTTACATAATCAACACTTAACAAGGCTTCACCACTTCCCTGCAAGTAACAAGAGCATGGTAATTTGTAGTCAAAGATTATCTGAAAGTAGTTAAGCTAATGGAAGGTTATATTAAAAGAAAAAAAAAACAACAGAACATAAATACTTCATAGTAGGTGGTAAAAAGCTTCCTTTTCAGAAAACTTTTTTGAGGAAAGTTATTAAACTTCAATACTAATACGCTAATATTGTGTAAAAATCTGACTAACAGTGCAATGTCCTCCACAGCATAAACATTCTTGATAAGGCAACATTCTAAGCACTCTGCAAGACAAGCTCACATTTGAATAAAGTTTACTCTGAGGAGTGGCCTCACAGTTGGTCATAACTTTTCAAAGTCAGTTATCTACAAGAAGGGCGTGTTGAGGTTGGAATATCTCCCAGCGTGCAAAACCATTTTAAACTTGATTCAGTAGTAAGGACTTGAAGTTTATTTAAGACTAGTCAGATCATGTCACTCACTAGCAACTAAGGAAGGAGGTTTTAGATGTTTATACTTAGCAAGCCTTTACATGGGAGTAGGGTAAATCTGCCTTGGCATAACAGATTTGGAAAATATGTTCAGATCAATACCTTCTGTTCAGTTTTTTAAATCATATCTGTGCAGTCTCCTTTTTTGGGCACTCAATTTATTTAAAGTACATCAATTTGATATACAGGTTGTTTTCATGGGGAGGAGAGAATATTTCCCCAACATATTTGATTTGGGTTTTTTGCTAAAGTAGTTTAGGTTTCTGTTTAGGCAGGCTGTGGACTGAAAGCCATTTCTACTATGACATTTCTCAAAGCAGTCACAAGACAGCTCTACAGCTTTATATCTGTCACACATAAAATCAGAGTACAGCACAGCATCTTTAAGAAACTCCAACCTGCATACAGATTCAAGTCAGTCAGTTCCATTCATTTTGTTACAATTTTGCCTCTGTAAAACTCAAGCACACACATGCAAATCCACCCTGACAACTACTTTTTTTTTAAAAAAGAGGAACTGTGCCTGCCAATGAAAGTGACTGATCACAGGTAGCAATAAAGTCAAATAGGACGCATTTTTAATGAGATGGTCGCAAACTTCACACTCGACCTTTAGATATGGCAGGCACAATGTGTGTCAATACCACTCCAATTAGCTTCCAGGGTCCCTTCTGTTTCAACCGAAAACCTTATCTGCCAGACTCACGTGAAAAGCAAACACTAAAGCGCTAGGAAACGCAGTCATGTATCAGCCCGCTTGAGAAAAGGTCCTCTCCTTCACAAACCCTTGCATGAATAACCCCTCCGCCCTCTCCTGGAAGAGATCTGCCGCCCCACAAACGCCTGGGCGGCTACAAAATTGGAGGTGCCAGCACAAGCAAGACGAGGGGGCAGAGAAGCGCCTCCCCGTTGAAGGGAAAGAGGCTGGCTACAGGCCCACAACCCCCCGCAGTAATGTCAACGGGGATGAGGGGCGCTGACAGGCCTTAGCCAGGAGCCAGGGCTGGGAGAAACTATTCCGCCCCTAGAGCCCGGCCACAAGGAGCCGCTCTCCTGCGGCCCCCGACCGGCCATAGCTGCCCCCTGTCCCTGCGGCCCCCGCCCCTGACAACTCGCCCCCGCCCCGGATTAAGCCCCAGGCGCGCCCCCTCCACAGCTCACCGCTCGGGGGCCGGCCTGCGCCATGCCCTCACCTCAGTGAACGGATCCATCGCTGCTGCTGCTGCTGCTGCTTGCTCGCGCTCCCTCAGGCCGCCCGAGAGTGGCGAAACCACCACCCCACGCCAACCGCTCCTCAGATTTGAATTTCAGCGCCCGCCGCGAATGCGCATGCGCGAGGCGGCCGCGCGCCCACGGTCGCCGCGCAGTCACGTGACACGGGGACGTGCCCCCCCCCGCACCAGCCCCTGCCGTATCCGAGGCAGGCACGACAGGAGGAGGGAGGCGCGCGCGTGCGCACAACCTCCCGCCCCGCGCGGCAGAGGGCATTGATTGACAGGAGTGCTATCCAATCAGACAGCAGGTTGCCCTGCTCTCCCCTTCTCCCTCGCGGCTTCCTTTCCCTTCCGTGTGAGGGAGAGAGCGGGGAGTGCGAAGGTTCGCCGGGCCTGTTACGGGCCGCGGCCGGGCTGGCTCTCCCTTTCCCGGTTCCGAGAGCAGGCCTGGCCTCGCGTGCTGCATCCGCGGGCTCTGGGTCGTGCCGCCCAGGGTTTCCGTGTGTGGCGTGCAGGGAGTGCATCCAGCCATGGCGGCCCTGCCACCTTCCCTTACTCCTCCTCGTTAGCCTAGCTGGGCGCAAACTGTCTTGTTGGTTTTTTTTAAAGAAATTTGAGGCTTTTGCCTCCTTTACAGGCAAGTAGAGCAATACTGCCTGGTTGACTGCACATCTTGCTGCAGCTGCTCAGTAGGAGTGTCTCCCAAGCCTTTTTCATTTGAAGCTTCATTTTTCAGCTGGCATTGACAGGAAAAAATGATTTTAATGTAATTCTGTGAACAGAGAGCATACTTATCCCAGTGCACTTGTGAAAGTTGCAGCTCCTTCTCGTGGCTTTTATGTTTCTCCTTGCTTTACAGCCAATGGTGTCATCCAGTCTTGCCCACCAGTTTCTCCTGCTGTCCCCTTCTCCATTTCACTGATAGACCTTTCTTAAGATGCAAGTGTCAGGGATGCTGAATTGGCATAGACCCATCAGGTGCACAGATCCCATCCTCACTAGCTGGGCACCACTTCAAACTCCTTTCCCATAAATGTGTTGGAATGCAATTGCAAATACAGCTTGGTTTTTTTGTATCTGCTGTTCACCCCCAGAGGCTGCTATCAGCCTGACAGCCCAAGTGATTCAACCTCATCAAATTTCCAGTCTATCCATACATATTGGTACCCCTTTATACCTTTTTGCTTGTATGCAAATAGTTTTCATTACCTTGCATAAATGCTTTTCTTCCCTAGTGCTGTGCTTCTTGCCTCTTGGATTATTTATAGGCAGCAGTCATTTCTTCTTCCAACCTTTACTTTGCCTTGCTAAACAAACCACACTCTTCTAATTGTCCCTCATTAGAAAATCTTTCCAATGCCTTATTTCCAAACAGCATGGCATTAGTGTGCAGCAGAATCTAAAAACACAGTATCAAATAATCCTTTTCTGAAGAAATCTTCAAGATTGGACACGCTGGCCGACGATCATCCCTGCACTGTTCTCAGATAAACGTGGGTTGGAGTAGCCCAAGATCCAGCATCAGAACTTGTTCACATACCCGGCTGAAAATTGGGACTTACCAGGTGAGACTCATCACTCATTCATAATCTATGAACCAGCCTGTACAGTGATAAGAAAGGACAGGCTTTATTTCCTTCAGGAGAAACTAGGTATAGCTATCACTGGGAAATAACAGAAACATTCCTTTAATGGAGCAGTAGAGAATCAATGCAGGCAAATACCCGAAGACAAAATAGCCAATATGGAGCTTGAAGTCATTGGCAGAAAATAAAAAGAGAGAATTAACATTCAGTCTTGTCTTTTTCCTGCTATCCCGAAGGAAGAAGAGTCATGCACAATTTGAGTCCTTTAAAACAGAACAGAATTACTGCATACTTTCTGCTTTACATGTGGATCTCTGAGATTTATGCAGTGCAGCTCCAGCTATCATTGGTTCATTTCCAAACATGGCTCCATCCATTGCTGTCATCTTTCAAATGATATGGCATAGCACATGATGCTCAGTCTGAGGGACAACCAAAATGGTGTTAGCTGCACTGTTAGTATGCATAATAATCTCATCTGCTATTTAATATTGAGAGGGAAATAATAATGCCTTATTCTGTAAAATAAAGTTCTTGTAAAAAATATTTCTATAAAGTATATTCTGAAAAATGAAATTGAGATTCCTAGGAGTGTATAACTGCTTAAAATGTCAATGCAACGTGCATGTGACAAATGTCCTTTTGTTTTTATCTCTACAGAGCCAATAATTTCTTCATCATTTTGATCCAGACTCAGTGGGGCCCTGCTAGAAATAAATAGAATACTTTCTCATCTTCTCAAGGGGTTACATCTGTCTTCCAGAACAGCAGTGGACAGTAAATGTATCTTATCCTTTTATCGCTCCAAAGAGCCAAAGAAAGTCAGTCTTCTTCAGGAATGTTGCTATAAAATGGCTACAAGATCTGATGTCTGCCTAATGGTCAGGGGTACAGCCTGTAGCAATGGAATTGCCAGTCAGGTTATTCTTTTCTTAATAAATTAATAAAACTATTTGCATCTTATGGAAAAAATCAACTGATGTTTCACAATCTGAAGGCGTAAAGAAAAAGAGAGGGAAAGAAAGGAATGCCATGTTGAAACCAGCAGAACAATGAGCCGGCTCTGCCCGCTGAACAGCATTATATTTTATGCCAGCCTTTTGCATTCAAAAATTGTGAATCACACCCTTCACTGTCTCCTCACCCCACGTGATATGGTTTAAGATTTCTTCTTGCCAGGGGTTAGCTAATGAAAAGTAATCCCTTCTGTAACAATAACATAATACAAAGCACTTGGGGAATGGTATTTGCAGGCTTGCAATTTTCATGGGAATTGAGAGCATGGGCATGGAAGCTAGTCATTTGTCTTTTAACATGGCAAGAAAAACATTTTTACTTTCCCAAGTTTTCCTTCAAAATTTGTAAAGCATATTGACTGTTTTCAGGGGTGTATTTTCATTTTTGGAAGGTTATAGAAGTTTGCATTAGGACTTCTATAAGAATAGAACACTTTTTAACTAATAAGGAGAGCACTAGCCAAAGTTTTTGTAGCTCTGGCTTTCTTACAGTACCGATGCAATCATAAATGTAAAATACTGAAGGCAAAAATGCTCATCCTAGTGTAGTCCACTGTATAGCTCCATTTTGTAATCCTCAGAGAATATTTCCTAAAACTTTCTGTCTGCTGAGAAATTGAGTTCACGATTCTGATTCCAAAGGAAAGATGAGCAAGATGCTTCCTTTGATTCACAGAAAAATCTCAGTAATCCTGTCATTTAGAGAAAAATAGTATTTTCCAACTTGTAATTTCCTTTTATTCACAGCTAAATAATTTGAAGTGAAAGTTGATGCTCATCTATCTTGCCCTTGCAAGCAGATTCAATCTATTGAATGGTAATACAGTGCATTATAACACAGTAGATTGTAGTATTCCTTGTAGTTTAGATTTACCTTCAAAAGGCATTTTTTACCAGAAAATTCACTCTTCCGCTAATCAGATGGAGAGCTGTCAAGATGCTGATACTCATTTCACACTGGTAGTATGGCTGCATAGGATGCCATAGAGAGGAGAAGCAAATGTATAGTCTAGTACACAGTGTTGTGCATCATTATTTCTGGACTATAGTCCCATTAGAATTAATTCTTTCCAGTGATTTCAGACAAAGGATTTAACCTTGGGGAAGAGGCAAGGAGGCAGCCCTTATAGAGCTTCTTGAGGACTGTGTCACTAGCATGCACATCCCTTTCCCCTAGCCCACCATCTTTTTGCCTCGAGTGGATCCTGGAGGATACATAGTGCAGGTCTGACTCTCCATTTCTCGGTGCCTAAGATGAAGCCAGGCCATAAGATATTCCTTTCTTCACAAGCTCCACACTAGGACCCCTGTATAAGGGAATCCTGCACTACAGAAGAGCAGTAAGAATATCCATCCTTTCCTCAGTGATTCTGAAATGAAGACCAAATTGTGCCCTCAGATCCTCTTGAATATCCTAGCATGCCAGAGACTGGGACTGGGAAAAGGCAATTTCACTCCCAGACAATGACTAGAAGGGCTGGTCCATAGTATGGCAAAACACAGCAGTTTGGATTAATCTGTATTTTCTATTGCAACTAAACGTAATCAGAAACATTTTGATGGGCAGCATTTAGGACCTGTTCTCTGTGGCAAGCCAAAGGTGATTATACTGCTTTTGTCAACTCCTGTGACAATCACAGAGGCAACTTAGGCTGACATTATGCAGTAAAGGAATATATTTATGTCAGGAATAAGACAGATTTTGTGAGTAACCCAAAGTGTGACATGGATTTAAATTAGTAATGCTCAGAGCACAAGCCTCTCTTCTAGTAGCCCAAGTAGGAAATTGATAACCAGCTCAACCAGACTAAAGGAATGTGAGACCCCATAGCCATTACAGACCAACTTTCAGCTGGGACTGTGCTTTATCATACCAAAAGGCTTCATTTATTAATCTGCCTTGGTAAGTGTTGGGGGGGGGAATCCCTTAAACTGGACATTTGCTGGGGGAAGATATGCTACATTTTCAGAATGTACAGAATGAATTTCAAACAGCGTGAATTTTATTTATTCTCTCACTTGTCATTTGCAGAGTATGGGCAGTTCTCAGGAAAACACTGGCTCACTGAAGACACCATTTATATTAAAAGTTGGAAAAGCACCCTGTCATTTATATTCTACACTAAATTACTGTATGATGACATGGATGGATTAGTGTTAACTGTTGTCAGAGCTGAAATGCACCATCTCATATGAGGAGCGACTGAGGGAAAATCACACAGAAATCGAAGCTGGAGGGAAAAGCAAAAACATTATGTGGAGAAAGAATTAAAAAAGAGAAGAGTGGAGAACGGCAAATAACAAGGGAGGATAACAAAGAAAACAGGAGGAAAAGACAGAAGAGGAGATACATTAAAATGGAAAAATAGTGAAACAAGGAATGAGACAAAACTAA